ATACACACACACACACACACACACACACACACACACACACACACTTTATATATATACTTTATTAAAATTGATTTCAGAGACAGGGAGAGATTTAGGAATATCAATGCAGAGAGAGAATCATTGATTGGCTACTTCCTGCACACCCCCACTGGGGATCGAGCACACAACCCGGGCATGTGTCCTGACCGGGAATCAAACCATGACCTCAAAATGACCCGTAATCTCCTGGTTCATAGGTTGACACTCAACCACTGAGCCATGCTTGCCAGGCCATGTTGGCAAATTTTGATACTTTCACTCAAAAGGGTGAGTCTGATGGTTGGAGTTTCTGGCCAGGCTACGGCAGATATTTGGATAGGGTCGGGGCTGATTATCATCCTTCATAGGCATCCTATGCACTGGGATTATCCTGTCAAAGGGACAGATGACAGACCAGCGTGTTCAGGAACAACACACACACACAGGGCCTGCCAGTGCGGTGTTCGGGGTTCTCGGTGACTGAGGGGCCAGGCAAAGAGGCTTCTTTTACTACACATCCCTGGATTTCTTGATGTCTCTGAGTCTTCAAAGGACTGCCCCACGAGAACTTACTCCACCCCATTAATGTAAGACCTTCATTTGTCTAGATTAAAATAGTATCTGGCCCTAACCGGTTTGGCTCAGCGGATAGAGCGTCAGCCTGCAGACTCAAGGGTCCCAGGTTTAATTCTGGTCAAGGGCATGTACCTTGGTTGCGGGCACATCCCCAGTGGGGAGTGTGCAGGAGGCAGCTGATCAGTGTTTCTCTCTCATCGATGTTTCTAACTCTCTATCCTTTTCCCTTCCTCTCTGTAAAAAATCAATAAATTATATTTTTTTAAAAATCGCAACATCTAAAAAAAAATAGTATCTGGTATACAGTGGGTGCTCAATAAATATTTTTTGAATTAATGTGCAAACAGAGCCTTCTAAGAGCCTGGGTTTCAGTTCACTAGCTTTTCACAGCTATGAGTCCTAGAAGGTTCGATGGTTCTAATTAGAACCACAGGGTCTACCAGTTGTCAAAACAAAATGGTGTGTCATGAGGGTAAAAGGTAGAGAGGCATAAGCAAACCCTCTGTCTACTCAGGGGAGGACCTGCTCCCCATATTCTGTCCTCAACATCAGTCAGAGATCGGTTACAAGGAGGACTGATTTCTCTAGAAACTGTTGCATGTTTCTTAACTGGAGGAACATTTTTAAAATAAAAAATAAAGGGTGGGAATCCTTGGTTAAAGGTAACTGGAGTCTTTAATGAGGATCTGCAAACAAGTGTTCTGATTGTTTATAAAGCCACATAGAGAAGCCATTTTAAAGAGCAAATCACCATTGGGATAGGAAAGGGGCCAGCATTTTGCCAGCAGACACAGTTTACTACCACAGAGACTTGCTATCTGTCCCCTCACTCATATGGGAGTCAGGAGTTGCTTAGATCATAGAAGCTACCTTTAGAAATGACCAAGAACAGCAAAGAGTAAGAGAATTTCATGAGTTTGAATACCTGGCAGCCCTCCCACCCGCCAGCCTGCCCTGCGTGCAGCCCCAGGCCTCCCCGTGGTCTCTGGGGTACCTGGTGAGAAGGACGGCCACGTCGTGATGGGCAGGGTTGAGGTCACTCTTGGGATTGATACTCTTCTGCCACTTACAGAAGCTGGTCAGTGTCTTCTCGGCATGGTGCACTATTTTCAGTCCTTGCTGGAGAAGGAAGAGGAAGAGATTGGCAGCGGTGAGTTTACCGTGGCCGGAGCCCATCACATTGGTCCCCAGAAGCAGCCAAGAGAGATGAGCACTGGGTGAGTGCCTCAGAGATCTGGCAGAATTGGGCAGAGGCCAAGCTCCTTCTCGGGGCTAACCCTCTGCTTAAACACTGTGACTCTCATGGCTTCCACTAAGAGAACCTGGAGGGGAGAACTTAGGACAGGAATGATCATTGGGACAAGGAACCCTTGAAGGAAAACCAAAAATATGTCAGCAAAGACCCGCAGCTGTTTCAAGTTCTACTTCAGTGGCTCTCTGCTTCCAATGTCAAGACCATTCTGAAAAGGCATTTTTATTGCAAATGCAAAATGAATAGACTTGCAACAAAAAGCTCTTCCTTTCACGAGGCATCCCAGAAGCCTGGGGTTGCACTGGGTGGTTTCTTGTCAATGCAACCTTCTTGGTTTGACATCTGTGGGTGAAGGGCCGAGGGTTAGGGCCACTGGTTGTCTGGCTGCAATTAGGATGCTGTAGAAGGTGCCCGGGCTGCAGCGTGCAGGGCTCCTGAGGCACCATGTGGCCCACAGTCGCTAATGGGGATGGGCAGAGAGGGTTTGCTCCAGATTAACTGGGCGAACACTTGTCAGGTGAGGGAGAAGGAAAATGGGCTCCCAGCTCCAAGGGCACTCCGGTTTCATTTGAATTTCTACAGGAGAAATTGCTTTCCCTTTTGGAGGGGGGCGGTCTGTACATAGGCCAGTGATGGTGAACCTTTTGAGCTTGGCGTGTCAGCATTTTGAAAAACCCTAACTTAACTCTGGTGCCGTGTCACATATAGAAATTTTTTGATCTTTGCAACCATAGTAAAACAAAGACTTATATTTTTGATATTTATTTTATATATTTAAATGCCATTTAACAAAGAAAATCAACCAAAAAAATGAGTTCGCGTGTCACCTCCGACACACGTGTCATAGGTTCGCCATCACTGACATAGGCCATCCTGGTAAGGGGGGACTCTACCTGGAGAATGACTAGGGCCACTGGCCCACTGGAATCTCAGTCTATTGCTCTGGGCTCAGCCCCAGGACATCACACACCCTCTTCATCAAACTATGAACTTGCTTCTCCACTATCCTGTATTTTGCTAAGGCCACACCCAAATCAAAGGAGGCCTGAGAGACTTCATTTGCCTATTAGAGACTCTCCCAGCTCCCCCACCCATGCTAACTAACCACCATAGACCATCTTCCTTTCATGAAAACACAGAAAGATGGCTCAACACTCGTGAAAAGTCACCAAGCTGGTTAGTACAATGAATTTAAATAGAAGAAACAGACTTTATTATTTAAAAATCCTCATCGTGCCCTAGCTGGTTTTGCTCAGTGGTTGGAGCGTGGGCCCGTGGACTGAAGGTCCCGGGTTCGATCCCAGTCAAGGACATGTACCTCGGTTGCAGGCTAGTTCCTCAGCCCCAGCAGGATGTTTATGGGAGGCAACCAATCGATGTGTCTCTCTCACATTGATGTTTCTCTCTCAGTCCCTCCCCCTCCCTTCCACTCTCTCTAGAAATCAATGGAAAAATATAGCCTCAGGTGAGAATTAAAAAAAAAACACCCAACCACCTCATTGTGACATCATCCAGCAAAATGATGTATCATGGAGGACGAGAGGAGGGATTCTGGGGAACCAGCGGGGCACAGGCGGTCAGGCGGTAGTCAGAACAGCAGCCCTACTGGAATGAATGGACCACACCCACCATAAGCACTGGCCGGGTGGCAGGCAGCAGGAATGTAAAGGAACAGAAAGGAAGGGAAAGGAAGAAAAGAAAAGAGAAGGAAATAAAAGGGAGGGAAAGAGGGGAAAAAAAAAACAGGAAGGAAACATTTCTTAGTCATTTATTATGTGACAGATTTTTACACATATTCTTTCATTTAATTGCACCTTCTCAGCATTATTTGTAAAGAGAGCATTGTTAAGTTCATTATTGAAGAACTAGCTGAAGGTCACTCAGGTCAGATACGGACAAAGGCAACGAGAACAAGGGCTCCTAGAGGAACCTGTGGTTCTAACTGGGGCCCGGCCTCCCTACGATGTCCTTTGAAACATGGGCTGGGCTCACAGCATCGGAAGACCTTACACCAAACCACGTGTGTCCGTCTAAGGAAAAGTGAATGTTGATATACTCGAGACACACAATTTAGATGGATCTCAAGGAAGTGATGCCGACTGAAAAAAATCTAATCTCAAGAGGTGCACACTGGATGATTCCATTTTATAGCATTCTTGACATGACAGAGAACAGAGATGGGAAAGAGATTAGTGCTTTCCCAGGGTCAGGTCGGGAGGCAGGAGGTATAAAGGGTAGCCTCCTCTCCCCTTGTTCCTGAGCCAAATTCAGCGACAGCAAGGACATAGCCTCAGCACGAGAAAAAGAGTCCTTTTCCAGATGTTGCTGCATGAACTCTGCTTCTAGTTTCCCAGCATTAGGAAGAGCCCATTTCCCCGAAGGACCTTAGGAACTATGCCTCCAATCCGCTCATTTAAATGATGAGAAAATCCAGGCCTGGGAGGGGCAGGACCTTAACCAAGTCACACAGCAGGTTTTGGTGGAGTAGGTCCCAGGTTTGCAGCTACGAGTCTAGGACAAGTGGTTTCCAAACGATTGAAGGCTTCTTTACATGTGTTTGCTTTGAGTAACTGGAGAGCTTTAGCAACTCCCCAATGGATGATGAGGATTATCGCTTAGTTCTCCACCTCTCACTTCCGCAAGTAGACCCTCTACTTCCGTGATCGCCACGCTCTGTCCTCCTCCTCCTCACTGTTCACTTCTCAGTCCCCTCCATGTGCTCTTCTGTTGGCTCATTGCTTAATTCCTTCTCAGTCACAGTCCTATTTTGGGAAATCACCTATATGCTGTTGACTCTCAAATCCATACCTCATTCCAAATCTCTCATGTTCAGATTCATGTATCCAAATCTCTCTTTTTAAAAAAAATATATTTTATTGATTTTTTACAGAGAGGAAGGGAGAGGGATAGAGAGTTAGAAACATTGATGAGAGAGAAACATCAATTCAACTGCCTCCTGCACACTCCCCACTGGGTATGTGCCCGTAACCAAGGTACCTGCCCTTGACCGGAATCGAACCTGGGACCCTTCAGTCCCCAGGCCGACGCTCTATCCACTGAGCCAAACCAGTTAGGGCTATCCAAATCTCTTGATGGACATCTCCTTCTGGATGGCACCACAGGTACCCCCATGTCAGCATCCCGGATATTCCTCCCCTGCAGGCTGACCTGCTGCTCTCCCCGTATCTCCGGGCTTAGTCCCAGGAACCACCATCAACCCAGCGTCCCAATCTAAAAACACCAGTGTCTGCCGTCCTCTCCTTCATATCCTGCATCCCATTGTGTCATCCTGGGCTGCTCATTCTACCTCCTCTTCATCTTTCCCCCCAACCACCCTAGCTCACACCCTCATCACTTCCTGCTGGGACTTATGCTTGTAGCATCTCTTAAGTGCTCTCCTCGTTTCCTTGTTCTCTTTCGTTCCATCCTCCTTGCTGTTGCCAGGTCAAGCTAGTCAAAACCAAAGTCTACCTATAACATGACCCAGGACTCAAAACCCTTCAAAGTCTAGCCTCTGGGAAGCTCTCCCTTCTTTTGCCACCTCACAGTTTATGCTCCAGCAACCTTCAAACTGCTTCTACTACCACTGCCCCAAGCCCACATTCCCACACCCCATGCTATTTTTTTACCTTGCTCTCTTCAAGCTGCTCCCTCTACCCAGAATATCTTTCTCTCCTCTCTTTCCCCTCTTTAACCTACTCAACACCTATGATTTCTCCCTGTTGCTTTTGTTTGTTCCTTTTATAAGCGAAGCAACTACACACACAGCTGAGTTGTCGATCACTGCTGCTGGGTACCCTGCCCCTGTGTAGAATTTTCCTCTACAAGGTGGGGCATTCAACACAAGTTCTGTGGCATGGTCTTAAGGATACCTCACTGCTTTTCTACTAAGTGTCATGACTCTTCCGGGAAGTTTTATTAGTGCACGATTTTTTCCAGTCCCCTCAGCCTCTAAATCTCCAAATTTCCTAAGAGGTTAAATCCAAAGAACACGTACTCATTTAGGTTTTTGAATGCAGTTGATCACAGGTGCCTTGAGAAGAGTCATTAGCTGTGCCTCGCTGCGGTGCAGCCCTCGGCCTGCACAAGACGCAGATGCACTGCAGAGACTACGCTGGCTCACAGCGAGCCTGGGGAGACTTGCGCTAAACAATTTCCGAAAAGCAACCTCCGAATTATTTGAGCGTGCCAAAACAAACCCCCATCCGCACGAATTTTTCCCCATTTCCTTTGTAAACAAAAATAGATTTTCTTTTTTGTTCTTGCATCATTTTTTTTCTCACCTCATTTTCTCAAGTGAGTCCAATTCACTTTCCACTCCCCCTTTCCTATGCATTAGAGCAGGTGACCTCATAGAGCAGGGAGGTGACCCAGAGGAAATCAACAACAGCTCAAGAAATAGGCCCAAATGGGAAAGAGAAAATGATTTTGACAAGTACATGGCTTTTATTATAAGTTGTTCTGTCCCTTTTAAGCTCTTTATAATGAAAAAAAAATCTTGTCTTGATTTCTTTGAGAAGTCCTGCTGGTAGCAGCTTTTGATTCAATACACAATCTGAACATGCTCCTAGCCAGGCTTGGGTTCCCAGAAGAAAGAGAATGAGCAGAGAAGAGAAAAGCAGTAAAAAGGTTAATCTGAAAACTTCCCATGTGCTTAAGGAATAACTCATCAAACTATCAGAGGAAAAGATATTGGTCTTTCATTTAAAAAAGGAACCAGGCTTCAAATTCTTTGTTAATATTGTTAACATTTATCCTGAAAGAGCAGAAGTTACAGAGGTTATTGTAGAACCACAAATCACCCTGGAGATGGGAAATTGTCAGCCTGGATTCCCAAAGTGAGCAGGCTTTTCAACTCCAGAGTCTCACAAAGTGAACCCAACACAAAACCACTCTGAGACCAAGAGGGCCATTCTCCGTGATAACATTCATTTCCTCCCTGCCTGTCAGCCCTTCTGCGGCTCCTGCAAGCCAGCGTGCCACCCTGGAGGGCACAGTGACATGGGGCCCACCTGGCTTTATCCCAGCTCCCTCCCTGCCCTCCCAATACTGCCCCTATAGTGGGCTTTAAAGAAGTCTCCAACTCTTAGGACCCTAACCTTACCCTTTAGGCCTTTGGCAAGTTTTCTCATCTGAGAAATGAGCTAATAATAGTAATGAGTCTATAGAGTTGTTGTGGGACCTAAATGATGGTGCTGATAATTATAAGAATCATAAAAATGATACTAACAAGTACCATTTATTGACTGGGTTCTAAAGCCAGATACGATGCTATTACATGGATTAACACATTTGATTCTCCCAGCAATTCCAGGCAGTAGAGGTTATCATCCCCATTTTATAAAACCAAGATATGGAGGCGCAGACAAGCCAAGTAACCCACCTAACCAGAGTTCAGTGAGGGTGAGGGTGGGAAGCAAGGCAAAGGGTGACATAAGGAAAGACCATGAACGTCTCTGCAGGACGTGGTGAGAAAGCTGACATCACCGGATTCCCACCTTTCTGGTACCCTCTCTCTTGTCCATTAAGTGGTTTACTGAAGAAAGGAAGCAGGGAGTACAAAGGTACAGGTCCGAAGAGTGGAGGGAAAACTATCCCTTACCTCTTCCTCTTCAAGTAGAACGAGCCGAACCACAACAATGTGAATTGCATTGCCGATGCTTGGGTTATGGAACAACCCAGTGACCTAGGGTCAGAAATGGAAACCCATTAGCCCATATGAATTGGGAACAGATAAATGCCGGGGGAGAGGAGGGAAGCAAATGTAATCTTATAGGTCAAGAAGTTTTGCTGGAGTGAAGAGTGAGGTAGGACTCCAGCCCAACCCACATTGTGAAATTTACTGTAAAGACAACCTTTCCAAAGTCATTGATCGGCTGTGTGCTTGAGGGGTTGGTGCAATTCTTCTCTTTGCCCCCATCCCTGACCCAGGGTCTTCTTCTCTTACTATCAGTGACTCAGCAAACGTCCTTCCCATCTCCACAGGACTAACTGAAGGTCTCTCTCATTCCTCTCAGAAGCTAGAAAACATCAATCGTGCAAAGGGGAAGCTGGAAATCCAGGGTCATTAACTCTATTCTAATTCTAGCTCTAACCTCCTTGAGGAAATCATGTTCTAGTTCTTTGTGCCTCCGTTTACTCATTTGTGCACTGATGGACATCAATAAGATAAAGTCATACTGAAAGGATTGAGTCACTCGATAAATACTTAGTAGAAAATGTAACTGATAAATTACAAATTGTCCCAGGACACACATATTAAGACTAATAGGTCCTGAATTTCCATCCTTCATCACTTCAACAGGGAATAGATTCATCTATGTTAAATGCACAACCATAAAGGAAGGTCTCTCTCATTTGTGGAGTGTGGAGCATTTCTAATGCCGTGTCCCCCATGAAGCCTGACATACCATGTTCATGATGGTGAGGATATAGGACTCCACGTTCTCGCTCCCATGATACTCAACCATCTTGGTGTCGGCCACCACCAGCGTCTCCACCCATCTCTCCCGGCTGATGGAGCGCCGGGAGACGCGTCTGCTGGGCCGGGCGCTCCTCTCCCACTGCTCTCGCTGCAGCTCTAGCATCTGGGAGGTGCCACGGCTGTCTACACATTAAACAGAAGGCAGTCAGTTAATTCTGTGTCTCTCTCCAATATTACCCACTTACATTTGTAAAGATGCAAGGCCATAAATTTATGTGGTTAATGATGTATGAAGGCACGTTCTTATAGACATGGCTGAAATGGAAGAAGGGACCAATGTAAATGGATATGACCAAGATAACTGAAATTTGAATCATACAGGGAAGTTCAACATTGCTTCTTTGAAATAATTGTTACCTATTTCATTAATCAGGTCCCTCACTATTAACAAGACAATATCACAAAGATTGGGAGCGTTCTCTTTCTCTCCTTCTCCTCCTCTAAATTACTCAGTGCCTACTGTCCAAGGCAACGTAGTCAGCTTCAAAATGCCAAGATGGTACCCTCACCCATGTCTGAAGTGTATATTGCTGTCTCCATTTTGCAAATGGAGACACTGATGTTCAAAGTGGCTGGCTACACAAAGTCAGTGTAAGATGCAGGATTTCCTACGCCCTTAAAATCACGCATTTCCCTACACACCACACCGTCTCCCAGAGTAAACAACGTAAAACTGGAGAGCAGGAAAGCTGGAAAAGCTGCCTGTGGTTCAGGACATCCTACTTCCAAAAAATGGAAAGGGAGCCGGAAAAGACCCAGCGAAGGACAGGGCAATTTCCAGGGCGACTAACAGCTTTCAGTAGGAACAGCATTTCATAAACCAGGACCGTAGTTGAGAAGGCAAAACCTAGGAGAGGCTACAGAATCATGAGGAAAATTGGAATCATTCTCAACAATCCCAGAATCCTGTAGCGAGGGAGCCCCTCCTTGCAGCTTGGAAGAGGTCTGTTTAAAACCAAGCGGAATGAAGTGCTACTTCAACCATCAGGAACCTTAGCTCGAGTGGCGGTGGGTCTACTATCAGAGGCTTCAGTGAACTCCCAGAGGCTCAGGACAGCGATTTCTACACAATAGCCGGCCAGTGTACATGAATCAAAATTATACCGATGTCTTTTGTCAGGTTGGCAAAAAATATAATATACTTTTGGTGTGCCGCAGAATTCTAGAAATTAGCTTATGTGTGCCATGAGATGAGAAAGGTTGAAAATCGCCGGCTTAGGAAGTTGAAGGATAAATTTACCAGGAGAATCAAGAAGGAAAGAAGCCTGGACTGATGGGGAAGCAGAGTCTCAGTCCTTGAAGATTTCTATCTGCCACACACCTCCCAGACCCCCACCCCTGCACCCCGATCAGCACCCTGGCCCCTGGCAGGGGCAGGACCTGGGGGCAGGGTAGCAAAGCTCACATCTCCTTCCTAGTCTCCAGCGATGGCCACCCAGCCTCAGCTTGCATACCTCCGGTGGTGGGGCCCTCACCTCCTCACAGGCATCTTGTTCTGTTAGTCAGTTCCCTCCTGTGCGGAGCTGAAACCCCTCCACTGTCCCTTCCCCTCATTAGCCTATTCCTGCTCTTTTAAGTCTAAACCCAGGCCCCTTCCTGTGGGTGGCTATCCCGGTCTTTGCATCGTAGAGTTGATTACACTGATTTGCAACATAACCCTTCCCAGTTCCTCAGTTCCGCTGTCTGCGTGAAATAGAACACGTTGAGTAATAGTTACAAAAAATGAGACATAATCATAGGTCTAAGTCTATTCAAATGCTATTATTGTGAATTTTACTTGAAAATAACAAAGCAGTACTTTGATGTAAGACTTTTGGGAAATAATCTAGGGTTGTGTAAGCTTTGGAGGGAAGTCCTGGGAAGGCTTAGAGAGGGGGAGATGGTTAACTTCATCTGTGGTAGAACAACTTTCTATTTCCCTTCTCACTTTCCTTGCGTGGATAAGTATGACTTCCCTAAGAAAACCCCAGAAATTTTAATGGTTTCTAATTCTGCACCCCTACCTACTCCCCTGTCTGTCACCCTCTCATCCCTTTTTGAAGCTCAAGGGAAAGTTCTCAAACTACAATCTGTTTCCAAATCTCTCTGTGCAAGCCAGGAGCAAGCCATGCTCGAGCCCCGTGGGGCCCGTGTTAGCAGACGGGCCAAGTGGAGGAATCCTATCAGCACGATTAGGTGCGATGGTCTTCCCTCAGTCCTCTCCTGTCCTTGACATATGGGGAAAGATGTCCTCCAAACTTCCAGGATGCTCACAGCTCTCTAGAGCTAATGTACTCGGACCAGCAGATAAGCGTCCGCACCCTCGCATCCTCACACAGCCTGCAGGCTGGGCGTCAGCCCCCTCGGTGCTGGATCCTCTCCTAGGCTTCAGCTCACGGCAATCGCAGGGACCTTGCCATAGGCAGCCCCTTTGTTAAAGCAGGTCCCTGCTGCTCCAGGCTGCAGCCTGGGGTCCCTGGTCAGCTGTGGTCCCCTCTCCTCTCAGGCCCTCAGGTCTCTAAGGTTAGAAGCTGGCAGGAGGCTGGCTCAGGAAAGAAGCTGGTAGGATAAAGGTGATTGCTCTGCTTCCCGCCATCCTTTCTTTTCTCATTTCTCCTTTAATCCCCCTCCTCTACTTTGTATCTTCCCAATGTTGAGAAAGAGAGTTTAAAGAGGGGAAAAAATATCTTTAAAGTCCATCAGGTTATTTCCTTTTTCCAGTCAATGATCAGGTGAGTTACACGGTAAACAGTCATGCAGGGGGAATGTGAAAATGAGAGATGGGGCTCTGGGGAAGACAGACATCTATTGATAAATTTTCAACAAAACCTACACTAAGCACTTGCTAAAGGCCAGATCTGTGCTAAGCACTCTCTATACACAAGATCTCATTCAACTGTGCCAGCAAATTTATGAGATACACCCTAGTATCATCACCATTGCATAGATGGGGAAACTGAGGCTCAGAGATTAGGAATTTTCCTAAAGTCACATAGTAAACGACAGAGCCTGAGTTCAGTCAAGTCTGTCTGATTCCACTACAGCAACAACGGACATTTATGGACCAGGCTGCATGGGTCAGCCCTGCTCTTCCTGCCTATGAAGAGAGGCAAAGATGTGACCCGAGCCTGGCGTGTATAGAACAGCCGTCTATCTAATGTGGCAATGAACACATGACAGCGTCATTATCAGGCTTAGACTAACTCCCCAGGAGAGACACATCAGTTCCATTACGGACAGCGCCAGAGGTTTACGGACATGGTGGGCTTTGAATCGGGCCCTGATGAGACTGAATTGGGAGAGAGGATTGTGCATCTAGGCTGACTTTGCTGAGTCCTGATGAAGTCATCCCAGACTTGACAGAAGAAACGCTTCTGCTAAGACACTTCAGAAAGTTCGAGAAGCCAGCCGTACACATGTATCTTCAGGGCCTGATGACAAAGGCAGACAGTTCTTCAGGGGCAGGGGAGGTGCGAGGAGCTCTCCTGGCACCTCCCTCGCTCCACACTCATAGACTGGCTTAGTCTGCTCCGGCTGCCGTAACAAAATGCCACAGACTGAGTGGCTCAAACACCAGACATTTATTTTCTCACAGTTCTGGAGGCCAGAAGGTCAAGACCAGGAGGCCAGCAAGGCTGGGGTCTAGTGAGAGCCCTCTTCCTGGCTCCCCACTGTGTGCCGACACGGTCCCCCCCCCATGTGTGCATGTGGAGAGAGAGAAATCACTTTCTTGTCCTCTTGTTGTGAGGCTACCAACCCAACTGGATTAGGACCTCACCCTGATGACCTCATGTAACCTTAGTTGCCTCCTAAAAGCCCTATGTCCCAATACAGTTGCACTGGGGGACAGAGCGTCAGCACAGGA